CAGGAGGCACTGGGGCTGAGGGCTGGCCCCCTTCTGTGGACTTCCTTCCTCATTCGGTTCCTCTATACTGTCCTCAGAAGACTAACCCGTCCCTCCTTGGGTGAAGAGATGAGGACGGAGTCAGGCGCCTGCATCCTCTCTCTAGCACATTCCTCTTCCTCCTTCTCCCCATACACACATCGGGTGGGCCTGCTTCTACCACTGTACCTGTGTGTACAGTCGATTTGTGTCCTGGGCTAATCCTTTCCTTCCTTGCTTCCTTCTGTCACACACTCACTCTTATGCTCAGTAAAGTTTTGCCAAATGTCTGAGATGTGCAGGCTCTGTGCATGGCCCCGGGATGCAGAGGTGAATGGCCCCCGTCCCTGTCATGAAGGCTCAAAGGCTGCTGCAGAAGACAGATCAGGGAAGCGCAATCAGGCCCGTGTGCCACCTGCCGAGGTCTGGTGCTAGGGGAACATCCTGGAGCCTGGGGTAAGGGGAGATTTTCAGAAGGATGTTCTGCAGCCTGGAGGAAGATGTTATGAGCTGGGCCTTGAGGAAGGAGGTGTGGTGTTCATACCCCCCATTACTTAACCCAAATGGAACATTCCATTTTCTCATCTCTCAGAAGGAGGCACAGACCCACAGGCTTGGAGCAGCTCTGCTTCCAGCTACGTCCCCAGCCAGCCACAGTTCCTGAAGGCGCAGCGCCTTCCACCGTTTCTGCCTTCAGGGCTGTGGGAGTCCCAGCCCGAGGATGGCGTCTGAACCCCGGGTCCGCCTCAAATGGACCGTGCCCTTGGGCCTCCCACCTGGAAGATGGACCAGGCCGTGAAGACTCCATGAGACCGTGATAGTGATCACGCTCTGTCAAGGGAGGAGCCCATTGCCGTTACTTATTATCTTATGGCTCGGTTACTGGAAGTGCTTTGATGTGGCCAGCAGGACGGGGCCTGGAGAGCACAGCTGAAACTCCACTTCAATATTTGTGGATTACTTTGAACAATCGTGGGGTTTAAGAATGTGAGGATTTACAAGATGTCTGTGTGCTCTGTGTGTGTGTGTGAGAGAGAGAGAGAGGTCTGCGTGCCAACTTTGGCACAGGGAGCCCTGTGCCTTGGGCCCCACGTGCATGCTTGTGGACTGTGGTACACATGCGCACACTCCCTTCTGCCCCTCAGCACCACCACACCCTTGACAATCCACACCACGCATGCCATGGGCGCCCTGCAGCAGCCCCTGCTCACCCTCACTGTGCTCCTGGGCATCTCTCCCATCGGCACCTCAGCCAGAGCTAACATCCTGGTCCATGTACAAACTTAACCGCAGGCCTACAACATTCCCCAACGGGGCAAACAGCCCTGTTATGAGTAGACTTTGCTGAGCTCTGGGACAAGGAGTCTGAAGGCTGCAGTGGGAGGGAGAGAACATTCTGGCCAGCAGGACTCTGGAAGAAGAAAGTATTTTAGCTGGACACTGAAGGACGGCAGGCCTTCTAGGCGAAGGCACAGCATGCGCACAGAGGTGGGCCAGGGTGGGTGAGCCTTGGCACAGCAGCACTGCTCAGTGAGGGGAGGATGGAGTGAGGGAGCCTGGCCATTGTTGGTCAAGGGCCAGCTTTGTGTCAGGCGCTGTGCTGGTCGTTCCGTAAGGCCAGGGGCGCTCAGAGTGTGGCTGGCTTTGACTGCCAAGTGGAGCGGTTGGCTGTGAGCAGTGTGGCTGAGTGTGGCGCAGAGGAGGGGGACAACCAGACCTGGGCTTCTGGCAAATGAAGCTGCGGCTGTGTGCTTGGTCGGCCTGGGGGAGGCTGGAGGCAGTGAGGCCTATGGGAGGCGGCTGGGACAGCTCAGGAGAAGAACAATGGGGAGGCTGGAGAGGGCCATGGGGGCCAGAATGGAGAGAGAGGGAGAGAGAGAGAATGATGACATGAGAGTCCAGACGTGCGGCTTGTCGCTGAGTCCCTGGGAAGGCGCTCCTAGGGAGCAAGAGAAGACAGACAGCTTGATGGCAGGTGGAGGAGACAGCAGGCTTGGTGTTGGGACACCTGAGCCCACTCTGTTCCTCCCCTGTGTCTGCAGAGAGAGGAGAGTGGATGAGAAGCACCCCTTAAGGAACACCTACTGTGTTCCACACGTGGGGCCTGCTGCACGGCTGTTATCATCCCATTTCACAGATGAACCAGCGGAGGCTCAGGACGTACGTGACTGGTGGGAGTCACAGGGTGAGGACGGGGTCTGATGGCACAACCACTGCTGGTCTCAAGTCTCCTCCTTCCCTCTAGCCTCCCCTCCCCTCCCCTCCCCTCCAGCTACATGCCCATCCATCCGTCGGGCACAGCCTGGGCCCTCTGCGGGCGTTCCTGCGAGCCCAGGAGGAGGGGAGTGCTGCTTTCTGGCTTCCCAAGCTCAAGGAGCCCAGAGCTCTATCTGCAGCTGACGACTTGGCAGCTTTTGATTTGCAAGAGAGGCTGGCGGCAAGGCTGTCCCCGGCCACCAGCAGAATGAGAGGCCTGGCTTCGGGTAAAAAAGCTCCTTCTCCTTTCTCTTTTTTTCCTTTCCTGCCTCCTCTTCTGGGATTTTTTTTTTTTTTTTGAAGCTTATTTTTAATCATGGATTTGAAACTTCAGATGCGGCAAAGCTCTGGGACAATGGGAGATGCAGGGTTGATGCCGATGGGCTGGAGCAGGTCAGGAGCGCAGTCATGTGGCTGAGCACTGATTGAGCACCTAGTAAGTGCAGATCTCAGGCTAGGTGCTCCACACCCATCCCGTCCTCACTGCCCTCAATGGGGGGACCCTTCCCTCGTTTTCCAGGTAGGGGAATAAAGGCATGGGGAGGTTCAGAAGCTTCTCCAGGTTGCGAAGTGGGTCAGCGGTGGAGTCTGGCTGCATCTACCCCCTGGGCCTGGGTGCTGGGCGAGCGTGAGGCCCTCCCAGACCCCGTCCCACAGTGAGGTCACTAGTGTAGCAGCTCAGATCTTTCTCTGCCCTCCCCGTCCCCAGACGGATTCCTGAGTGTTTAGAGATGGGCCTCACAAGCGCAGGTCCGTCCTTCCAGCCACTGAGGGGGACTGATTGATGGGGTTCCTTCCCTCCTGTGCTGTCCTCATCCTGGGCAACTTGGGACTTTAAAATCGGAAGGACGTTGGCCCAGCTCGGTACAGCCTCTGTGTGCGACTAGGAGAAGAAAACCCGAGACAGGGGACCCCCAGGCCCTCGTTCTGCCCCACTCTGTGACCACAGGACGCTTTCCAAGGAGGTGCCCGGTAATCTCCTGTCACCCCTGTGGGGGGAAGAGCAGCACGGGGTGGGAGAGGACAGCATGGAATCAGGAGCCACCTGGCCTTTGGAGTCTAACTGAGTGGGTGACCTTTGGCAGCAGCCTCCATTGCACTTAGGAGAAAATCTGGAACTTTCTGTGGAGCAGCGAGGCCCTACCTGGTCTGGGCCCGCCTCTGTCTCTACCTTACCTCCAGGTATACCCTCTCCCTTGCACAGGTCCCAGTCACGCTGGCCCCAGACACCAAGCCCTTTCCCTGCACAGGGCCTTTGCATATGCTGTCCCCTCTTCCCAGGGCACTCTTCCTCCACTTCTCATCTTCCTCTTCATCCCCTGGGCCGCGGGGAGGCCTGTCTATCCTGGACCCATCAATCTATTGCCATCCCCCATCACTTACTCAGCAGCACTGGCGGCTGATTCTGACCATGCCATGAGGACAGGGACCAGCCCTGTCTCGTACATCTTTGCATCCCAGGTGCCCACCTGGCGCCTGGGCCCAGCCTAGGCCCCCTGTAAGTACCTGTGGACACATCATTGAATTTAACCTCGCTGCAACCTCAGTTTCTTCATTTGTAAAATGGGTCTGGCAACATCTACTTCGTACGCTTGCTGCGGGGACAAAACGAAGCAAGGAGCTCTGCACAAGGGAAGCGTTCAGCGAACGCCAGGCACTCTTCATGTTAATCTTCATTCTTGGGTCAAACCCAGCTGGGCATGGCCGACACCCGTGCACATCTAGGAAACTTGCACTGAGGAAACTGAGACGTGGAGAGGTGGCCCAAGATCGGCTCCAAGGCAGGCTGGCCGTCTGGATCATCCTGCTGACCGTGGATGACCCTATGGCCTCAACCTTTCTAATATGGCTGAGGGGACAAGCCATGCAAGACCACAGAGGGAACGAGCAGGGTGTGGAGGTGCTTCCCGCAAGGAAACAAGAAACACCCCTGAAGGCCCCACTGTCGTGGCCCCTCAGGGCCCATCTTCTCCCTTCCAGCTGGCTGATCCCATTCCCATTTGCCCTTCAGCTGACTTCCCTCCCCAACTAAGGACATTTGCGTGAGCAAAGCATCTCCAGCCACTGCCTTCTTGCCACCTGCTCCTGTGGCTCCCTCCCCACCTGAAGCCATAAATACACATGCAAAGGCCAATATACTAATCTGTGTTTGAGCTGGGAGCTGCGGCCGCCACCGAGAAAGGGGATTAGGCCGTGGCCGTGGGCAGGAGGCAACAGATGGTTTGATTGCTTTTACCTGTTGCTAATTTGTTAGGCAACGATTCCTCGTTTGCGTTTAATTGTGCCCAGACCCCAAGACGGCAGGGAGCCCAGCACTATGATGGCCCTCAGTGCGTGCATAGGGCGAGGGGTCAGGCGGCCTGCCTGGGAATGAAATGCCAGAATCTGGCAATGCGTGGCTCTTCCTTGTTCTCTCTTGATCAGATTCCTGTCTCTCTCCCCGGCTGGGCACTCAGGACTCTCCGAGCATATGCAGCAGCATGGATGGAGCTGAGCTGGGGGCAGCAGGCCTGGCCCTTCCATTAATCAGCTGTGTGACCTTGAGTGGGTCACTTAGCATCTCTGGGCTCCATTTGCTTGGCTGGGAAGTGAGCAAAATCACACCTGCCCTACCTACTTTGCAGGGTTGCTGTGAGTGTGAACTAAGAGAATGGATCTGAGAGCACATTGACACGTGTAATACTCTGTAATAGTGAGGCATTATTTGCTAGCAGAGCGGCTAAGAGCTTGGATTCTGGAGTCAGTGAGGCCTGGACTGAATTCTGACTCTGCCACTTATAACCATGAGGTCTCAGGTAAGAAACCTAAGCTTTCTGAGCCTGTTTCCTCTCCTGTGCAGTGGGGTGAGAATAGCCCCTGCCTTAGAGGATGTTAGGAGGAGCCAAGGAGCTCATGCACGGGCCGGGCCCAGCTGGGCTTTCCCAGAACACAGTTGGTCCCAGTGAGCCACGTTTCCTTTGCCACTGCTCTCCCAGCAAGCTTGGCTAAGCATCTCCTGTCCCGCGAGGCCTGCTGTGATTGTGTCCCCACCACCAGGTAGGGGAGCTGATTGGTCCCCCTGGTGGAAATTTGTTGGGGGTTTCTTCTTCTCCAACAGCTACAATCTGGTGTGACAGTAACCTGGGGCCTGAGAGCCTGTCACCAAAAGGACAGCACATAAACAAGCACAGCCATTCGAAAGCATCTTCCAGAGTCAGCACCCAGCCTCTGAAGACAGAGGGAGCTCCTGCCACAGAGGGGCCCCACTGCCCTGCCTTTCACACCTGGCCTCCCAGCCGTCCTGCTTCCCACCACGTCCAAGCCGGATTCTCCAGTCTTCCTGCTGATCCTCCTGAGCCTCAGATACATTTCCAGGAAAGTTCTTTTTGCTCAAGCGAGCTAGAATATACTTCTGTTGCTTGTATTTCAAGGATCTGGCTGGCGCACTCTACGCCTTCTGCACGCCTTGATGACTGCGTGGAGGAAGTTTCTTTTAATAAATGTTTTCTGTGTTTGTCTCCATTACTTGCTTGTTTTGTGACTTTGGGGAAATCCTTTCACTTCTCTGAGCCTCGGTTTCTTCTTCTGTATAATGAGGGGTGGGGGTGGGGGGTTCCCTGGGTCACTGTAAGGATTAAATGCCATCAAATAGGCAGAGCCCCACTCCATGTCAAGCACGTAATTGGCACTCAGCGATGGCTGATCAATTAATTCTCAACCAGCCGAGGGTAAGCGAGGTTGCTTTCATTTGAAACCACGGAGGAAACAAGCCTGCAGGTTTGTCAGGAAAGCATCCTTTTGAGAAACTTGCTCCAGGGGTTATTGACTGAGAAGTCGTCTTGTCTCTGCTTGGCCTTTGAATTTCTCTCAGGGAAATGTGCAATTATTAGGAGAGGTAAGACTACAGAGGGAATGGGAGCTGGCAGAGTGCTCTCTGGGGCCCAGTGGTGAGGAGGAGGAGCCGGGGTCACGGTGGGGTGAGGCGGGAGGTGTGGCCGGGTGTGGGCTGGGTTTGTGGATCCTCCTGTGGGAAAGAGGGGAGGGGAGGGCAGGTGAGGAGGTGGGGGGAGTAGGAGGAGAAGAAGAGAGGTGGGGAGGTGAGGGAGAGAGGGAGGAGGGCAATGAGTGGTGATAAAGATTCTGACTTCCCTTTCCATCCCTCTTCATTTCCATCGCATCTCACTCTCTCCTCTCACATTTGATTCTATGTCTAAATAGCACCCTCCCCGAATAATGCTCCCCACCTGAGCCCCGAGGGCTGCCTCTGTGTTCCCCTCCAGGAGCACACATCAAAGGGTCCAGGAGTTCCTCTCCTTGAACTCAGCCCTGATGAGAGGGCTCTCCCGCTTATTTCTTGGGTGGTTTCCCCTTTCCTAGGCAGGGGCGACATGGGGAGTGCACAGCACAAGGGAGAACCCGGTTTGAATGTGGAGTCGCTCAGGCACCAGCGGTGTCTTTGGGCAGGCGACAACCCTCTCTGCTCCTCTTGCTCTGCAGCATGCCCGGTGGTAATAGATGACCATATCCGCCTCGCAGGAGGTCCTGTATGGGGAGATCCAGCATGGCACCCAGCTTGGCGCAGGGGCTGTGAGTGACGGCTGCACGCCCTGCAGCCTGCACAGGTTCAAGCAGTTGGTGTGGGGGAACCTCACTGCATCGCAGGAGCATCTCAGCATCAGGGCAGGAGGCAGGTACACGAAATCAACTCAGGGCCGCAGAGCCTGGTTACCTGAGCCAGCCGGACCCAGGGAGGAGCAATTTGTGATAATATTGACTTTTTCCCATGTTCGCCGAGATTCTGCCCTGCACCTTTTAACACATCTCCCTTCTCCAAGTCTGCTCTGCCTGGACACCCTCCATACAGTCAAGGAAACCAGGAAGGAAACAAAGGAACACTTACTTCGGGCCAGGCACGATATTAGTGGCTCTGTATACATCATTTCATTTAATCCCCACCACAGCCTTTTGAGGCTGGTAGGACTGTGTTTTGTTAGAGGGGAGAACACCAAGGTTTAGCAAAGTTAAGTGACTTGTCCAGTGTCATGTGGCCGGAGGGCTGGGGTTGGAGCACAAGCCACCTGACTGCCTCGGGATCATGCTGGCTCCTCTCTCCATCCCTCAGCTCAGGAGCATTTCTTTCACTGTCCCAGCAGTAGCTATAGACTTTTCCATCCCTTCTGACTCAGAAAACTTTTGCAGACTCTAAAGCAACTTCTTGCCTCATACCATTTTCTCCCACTATGTTCCACTCCTCTGGAAGCTGTACTGACCACGCCTATTAATAGTAACCTGGATATTGGTGAAAAACAGACCAGACCAATAAGAAACATTGCCAGGATGGGTGCTATGGGTCTGGCCGTACGTGTGCATGACCAAGAGATGCTGCCGAGCCCGTCAGCGAGCAGCTTGAACCTTAATTCGGATTTAACGAATGTTTACCAAGAAGTGGCTGTTCTTGGGAGCCTAGCAACCTGTTGCTTCGAATGTCGTGTTGGACTTTATCAGCAACATGTGGGGAAAATTGGTGAAGGGAAAATAACGTTGAGAAGCTTGGGAAGACCAAGAAGGATGATGAGCTGTTTGAAGTCAGCTATTTAAGAAGGACAAAGGGACGCGGTTCTCAAGGAAGGCAGACCCCAGGGCGAGACAAGGCCCCTCCGCTCATCCCTCACCCCAGGGCCTCTCCCACTTGCACGCAGACTATAAAAGGCAACCTCTGGGTGAAGGTTGGGACTGTGTGTCTTTTGTGGGAACTGATGTGTTTAATGGAGGCATTCCAGTACTCTATGCCCAAGTTTTCATCTTTCAAAACTTCACATCTCACTTTGGGGAAGTGAGAAAAACATGAGTTTTTCATAAAGTGAAATTTATTCATTTTCAACAGAATTGTCCTTTTTTTTTCCTGGGATTATATCTTTCCTACTGTCTCAGTGTTAAAACATCCTTTCATCTATGAAAGGATGGTGTTAGCAGACTAGACTTGATTTCCGGAGTATCTATGCCTGGCAGGATACAAAGCTGGCAAATCTATGTTGAATCTTCCAATTTTCTCTTTAAAAATTTTGCTGAACTACAACATCCTGAAGCCTGAGGACCACTGGGTTGTACTTTGTCAGTTACCATTTGTATCAACTCTCTTCTCAATATTGGGACAATTTTTTTTCTGCTTAGCACAGATAGTCTTTGAAATTCAAATACCTCAACACTGTGCTTAAATTTAATAACCTTTCTTTGGTCTACAGAGTAACAGGTATTATACCCCACATATACCATAATTTGGAGCCTGGAGATGTTTCTCTCACAAGATCGTGTCTCTTGGCTTTTCTGTATCTGTTACTATGACTCGGTTTGAAGAGTGTTCGGTCCTGTATAAAGATCCCACAGGCTGGAATGAGGTGGTGAGAGTGAAGCGGAGGGATGGAATTGTAGACGGGATAGATGGTGAATTCCCAAGAGATGCCGAGACAGTTTAAATAGAGCCAAAGTTCAAATCACAGGTGAGAGACTGCCAAGTCCAGAGAAGGTCAATGTCAAGAACCAAGTTAGAAGGGCAACGTGGGAAGAACATGTGAGAGAGGTCAACAATGGTGATGCTAAGAGAGTCTATTAGGGAATGTACTGGAGAATGAGAAGGGCAAGGAGTCCCCAGCCACGGTGGTCAACAGTTGGGTTGGAACCTCAGGTATTACTTGGTGGGGGTGCAAGGCAGGAAGCCGAGGTACAGAGACTGCATGTGTCCCGGGAACAGGGGTCAGGACCTACGCTGCCGGGGAGCAAACTTCAGACTCTCTTCTCATGCTCCACTTTTTCTCCCCCCACTCATGCCCCCACAAGGGAAGAGGAGTTGTAACGGGATAGGTCAAGCTCTGGACCTTTGTAGGAACATTAAAAGGTGGGCAGGATCCTGCACCTGGGTTCAGCCTCCCCTTCCTGCATCCTCGTGGACACACACCAGGCAGGCCCCTCATTCTGTGTTTCGTATGCAGTCGCCAAAGACGCAGGCCTGGCCTCATCCTCTGGACCCCCAACTGGGTGGATAAGTTAGGCCTGCTTTGAGATTCAGGGGAAGGGAATGAGAAGCCATGTTAGAGCTCCAGGCCTCCGCCACGTTCTCCAACTGAGGATCCCAGAAACAGAGACAGTGGGGGTCAGTGAGTACAGGCTCCGATATTAATAAAATAATCCTCTGATTTCCATTCTGCTTATGTCTCGTGCTTTAGATACCAGCTACGTGCTGATGGTTCCTGAATCCTCTCTGAGCTCTGGATCTGTATATCCAACAGCCTACTTGGCATCCCCTTAGGCCGCCTAATGGGTGTGTCATATGTCACACGGCCCAAACTGAGCTGCTGATCTTCTCTCCAAACCTGATTTCCTGCCATTGACCCTGTCCCAGTTAATGCGGAGCCCATTCTTCCAGTTTCCCAGGCTAAAGACCTTAGTGCCATTCACAGCTTTTCTCTTTTTCTCTCAGCCTATGTCCAAATTCTGTCAGCTCTGCATTGAAACATATCCAGAATCCAACTGCTTCCCTCCATCGCTACTGCCCCACCCCCGTCTGGTCCACCACCATCTCTTGTGTCGTGGGTCACCAGGAGCCTCCTGACTCATCACCCTGCTCTTCCTGCTTCCCCCTTGTCCCCACACCTCATACCATGAGCCGTTCTTGACCACAGTGACTCAGAACACAGGTCAGACCATGTCACTAGTCTGGGCCACGCCCTTTAATGGCCCTTTATGACTTCCCCCTTCCACCCCCGCCCCACACACGCCTTCCTTTGACTTATGAGACAAGGTCTGGTTTCCCCTGTCTGAAACTTTATCTTCCATTACTTTCTTCCTCGTTTGCTCACACACTGGTCTCCCGCTGATCCTTGAGTGGGCCCAGCATGTTTCTGTCTCTGGACCTTTGCACTTGCCATTCCCTTTTTCTGAAATACTCTTCTTGCAGATACCCTGTCATGAGATCCCTCACTTCTGTCAAGTCTTTACTCAGTGCGGTCTTTCTGACTGTCTTATCTGAAATTTCAACCACATAACATTGTATATCTCTCTTTCCTGCTTTATTTTTATCGCCTTCTAACATTTTATCTGCTTCATTTACTGTCTTGTGTATTGTCTGTCTCCCCAGCAAGAATGTAAGTACCAGGAAGAATTTTATATATTTTGCTCACCAGTCCTTAGAATAGTTTCAGCACATAGTAGGTGCCCCATAAATATCCATTGAAAAAAATGAATGAGTTACACACAAGGAAAGGTGCTCAACATCATTAGTTATTGAGGAAATGCAAATCAAAACCACAACAAGATCCCCCTAGAAAGCTTAGGATCAGAAAGACATACAATAACAAGTGCTGGGGAGGATAGGAGGTGATGCGAACCCTCACACAACGCTGATAGGATCGTAAATGGTGCAGCCAATTTGCAAAACAGCTTGGCAATTTCTTGAAAGTTAAACATAAATTTCCCATATGACCCAGCAATTTTATTCCTAGGTCTCTACCCAAGAGAAACAAAAACAC